AGATGATCTTTAAGGTCCCTTCCAACCCAAACCATTCTGTGATTCTATGTTCAGGCTCCTTTGGGTATCCAAAATAAAATCTAAAATAAAACCTTAATATATCTGCATTGGAAATAAGGGAAATTTGAGACGATTGCAAGTTCACAACCTTAGCGTGCTGTTGAAATGAAAAGTGGCTGCTGTGAAGAGCTTTTATCTGGTTGTAAGTTTCCTTGTGTCTCTGTTCCACTGAAATGTGTTTGTTTTTTCAGCCAAAACCCAGGGGTGTCTTTCTTAACTGCCATCCCTGAGACCCCACAGGGATCTAAGAGTCCAAATGAGTTGTTTTACATCTTCAATACAGTCACTCTGCAAGCCAACTGCTTGTTCTGGTTACACCTGTGCTCCTTATTGCTTTCCAAGGGCAAGTGGCTGGAACAAAGCAATAATTTTTCTTGATGATGGGGATAAAACAAAATTCACTTCAGACTTAGCCCTGGAGGTTCTTTGAGTAACTGATTGTAAGGAAGTCAGATGTGACTCTGAACTTGTAAGAAGTAGGCCTTCTAATGTGAATCAACGTAAGACATTCTAATGAGAATAAACTCAAATTAATGGCCAAGATTCAACAAACTTCTGCAGTGCATGCAAAATTTTATGCACTTACTTTGATACTACGCAGAATTGGTGAGACAGTGTCCCAGGTTGGCCAGAGAAGCTGTGGCTGCTCCTCCCTGGAAGTGTTGAAGGCCAGGTTGGATGAGGCTTTGAGCAACGTGGTCTAGTGGAAGGTGTCCCTGCTGCTGGCAGGGGGGTTGGAACTGGATGATCTTTAAGGTTCCTTCCAACCCAAACCATTTTATTCTATGTTTCTATTTTAATTACGTTTGCAGTACATAGAGATCCATACCTGCCTATTACCAGTATTTTTTGCAGATATCAAATGTTATGCTCCTGTGGCTGACCACTTCTTTTTGCCATATTTGTGAATAAGAAAAAATTCTTTTTACATCATTTAACGTGTTACTGAAATTTAACCTAAATTAATTTTTTTCTTAAAAAAATGAAACCTGTCTGTCGAATAGCGGGGTGGGGAGCAAAGCAAAGTTAGTCCAAGGTGGGTGGTGTTGTAGCTGTATCTGGACTATGTGGGGAGGATGATTGGAAAGAGATTAAAGAGAAACAAAGGGAGCTTTAGATGCATGGATCCTACTGGAAGATATAGATATATGTGGTTTTAAATCCCTTAAGTGCTTTAAAAAAATTTTCGCCCATCTATTTTCAGACACTCCCCGCCCCCCTCAAATCCTGCCAGTCCAAACTATGTGGGAAGATCTACAGGGAATGCCTTTGCCACTCCAGTGCATTAGAGGTTAAGCTAATTTTTAATAGGACTGGCTGGAAAACAAGGATTCTTACTCACAAACAAGTCTGTTAGTTGGCAGGGAAGGGGTTCAGGCAAACCAGTATCTGTACATGTGCAAATACTGGAGAGGGAAGAGGAAGAGGCGAAGAACTAACTCTGTTCTTCCAGTTATTCTATGATCTTGAAAACAAAAAAAAAGTAGTTACTTTTAATTACTCTAATGCATCAGATAAATTAGGGATCCATTTGCTTTTTTCGAAGAAGCAGCAATCCTGGAGAGCCATGGAATAGATGTACAGAGTCCGGGAGGCCATTCCAACAGCGACGACGTTGATGGCAATGACTACTCAGAGCAGGTAAGCACAGTGGCTGAGCCTCATGGCTCAGAAAGGGAGAGTTGATGTGACACATGAAGATGCCCTCGACCTCTCGCAAATCAGATGTCTCTTGTTTTTGTTTTGCTTTTATGTAATTGTAACGGGGAAAGTGAAAGAGCACAGCTCCCCTTGTTTGAATGTGTTGAGCAACCAGTGTTCACCCACCTGGATTTATTGTCATACAACAGGACACTTGGCAAGTACGCAATGGGGAGGAGGAGGGAAGATGTTCAGAGGGAGGCAGAGAAGCAGAGAAGGTAGAAGAAGACAGGAGGATCTGCTCCAAACAAGCAAGTTACACCATTCACGCCACACGCAATGTATGAAAAATGTTAGGAGAGTGTGAAGTCACCCAGTGCACCCACCATACACGACTTGCACTCTCCTTACCCCGGCACCATTCTAGTTATCCACCCTACAGAAAGGATGTACAGATCTTTAACTGTTCCTCCTATATATCAGGCACCAACTTGCTTCCCTGCAAAACTAGGCATGTGTGTTCCTTTTGCACCTCTGATTTCTTTCTACCAAAAATATCCCCCATTTTAGCCTGTGCTACAGCTACTGGGAGTTGCTTATCTGGCACCCAGACCAATACAGCAGTAGCCCCTGCCCAGTACACTCTGTAATTCTTTTTGTCAACCTTGCCCAGCAAGATACTGAGCACCCTTCTGTAAGGTGCTGAGCTCCCTCTGTTTTTTTGGGGGAGTACCTTTCAGGAGGGTCTCAGAATCCATCCCTAAGACACTGACAGACAAAGGGTGAAGGGTGGGGGGAAGGATTTGGTTAATAAAGTTTGATGTTTATTTGGCCCCGTACCTATTCCCTATTGTTCTGCAACTATGTGCCACTATTTGGATTGTTTACATATTATCTGTCTTTTTTTCTTTTTTTTTTTTTTCTTTTCTTTTTGCATTTTAGCTCTTGCCTGTTCTCTTACTTTTCTTGGTTATTTTTAACCCTTGACAGCAACTTCTTTTTTAAATTCTCTAGCAAAAGAATACCCCTTCCCGCACTCTGAGCCCTCACCTACCCTAAAGTTGGTGACCCTTCCTTCACACACCTTCCTGACAGGTATTGCATCCCCTTCCCAATTTTTCTTCAGATGTCAGTGTTGGCCAAAACCCCCCAGGGCTGTGTGTACTTGGCACCAGTGGATTTGAACAGTTCACTTGATTCTGGTTTTGATAGGAGCTGTATTCTGCGCTACACCCAACAGCTGGGGTGGGCAGATCGCTTTTAATTGACTCGTTTGGGAGGAGTAGGTAGGTCTCCCTCTATAAAGGCTGCTGGTGGAGTGTAATAGCAACTGAGTGTCCTGGAATGAGTCCCTGGCAGACTTGGCTGTGGCCCAGTATGACAGATATCTGGCAGAGGCATCCCCAGCCGCTTTGCTTCTGTTGAGTATTAAGTCCCTTTTTCTAGGTCATCACCAGCAGATTTGGTGGAACCAACCTTGCTAGCTCGAGATGATGAGAGAATGCTCTCAGGCTCTTATAAAATATTTTGAAACTGCTGCCGAGCACAGATAATTCCTTGTCAGTCAGATACAGGACCTGAATACTGAGGTGAAGTGTTATGTAGACTCCCAAACTGATTTTCTTTTATGTGTTATCCAAAATACTTTGAGAAGAGAAATAAATTGGTTGTTAAAATGTAAAGATTTTTATTTAGAGTCCTTAAAAATTACATTTCCCAGTAATCTAGCTGGGCCTCTCTGTGAAGTAGAATTAGGCATTAGCAGCGGAGCAGATTAAATAACAAGCTCTCTGATGACCATTTAACATCCCTTAGCTGTTAAAACCATAAATTCTCTTTTCCACAGCGACACTTAAACTCTAGTAAACTTTAAAACACAAAGTTCATCCCAATACTAATGAAATGCCTAAAACTCCAGAAGGCAGGACTTTGTGTTTCTTACCATGGTAAAGATTACTGAGAGGCCCTTAGACTGTGTGCACATCACAATATTTGCCTGACATTTGTTGTAAATGAATGCATTCCTTTAAATAACTTTAGGATTTTACCAAATCCTGACTTTTCTGTCCCCCTCAGTGTTTGTCACGTCTCATCTTAATTTAATATTGCATAATACACATGTGAAATTTTAAATTTCACAAGGTCATCACTTAAAGGCTGTTGGAAGACTGATAAATGTTTATCATTTCCTTTCTGTAAATAATAATAATTTAAAAAATCTGCAAGATCATGGTGTGGTAACTATTAGTATCCCATTTTAAAGAGGGGAAGACACCCATGATTTTACCCAAAGTTCCAGAAGCATTTGTTTGACAGCTGGAATTACAATTTAGATATTGCTGGTTCTCCTTATTATTATTGAAAACCAGGCCCTATTTCTGATGTAGACTGAGAAACTTGCTTAACTCACTAGAAAATTTATGCTGGAATTGTCAGAGTTTTAGGTCTGCTCTTGTATGGCCATTATGCACCTGTAGAACGCAGCCCCCCAAATCATTGCACTGTTTTTCTTCATGGTCCAGGAGGTTTTCAGTATCTTTTTCCCTATACCTGCATGAATTCAGTGTCTTTACAGGATACTGGCTCAGACCAAGGGTTAATCTAAGTTTGTGTCCTGTTTCTGAGTTGAGGTTAATAATAGTATTTAAGGAAAAAGTATTTTTAAAGAACAGGACAATTGTAGAATGATTTTATTATAATAGTTTCCAGCTTCTCAAAGTCAGTAGTTTTAAGGGGCTTCCTGAAGCAGGCACTGTACCCACTATCATTTTTCATAGTTCTTAGTAGACTAATTCCCTGAACATGTCTGACCTCCCCTTTTAAAGCCGTTTTTACTTTTGGCTGATCTAAAAATCAGTGAATCCTACAACTGAACTGTGATAAGTAAAGCAATGCTTCCCATTGCTCCTTTGGAATATATGATCTCATCATTCCAGTGAGCTTCCTTGCTTTTTAGATCCCAAGAAGCCACGAACAGTTGTTCTCCTCTATTTGCTAATTATTTGTAATAAACATTTACCATATCAACCATCAGCCATTTCTTTTCCAAGCTGAAGAACCTGAGTCCATTTAGCCTCTCCTCATAAGGAAGCCACCCCATGCTTCTTTTCCCCTGGGCTGCCGTTCTCTCTACCTTTTCTAATTCTGTTGTGTCCTCTTTAAATGGGATGACCAGAACTGTATACAGCATTCAAAATTTTTTTGGGAAAGTGTGAATTTGTGCAGTAGATAATGATTCCTATCTTAGTTTGATTTCCTGACACACTTTGTGTATCGCTTTTATCTTTATAATTTTATATTATCCTCAGAATATTTGGCCCCACCCCTGAAATTTCTGTCTTGAAAACCAGGTATGCCACTCCTTGCCTCACTTACCTTTGTCTGCACAGTGAGGGAGATCAATCCTAAATCCATGTTGTAAATTCCTTTCACTTCCTACCCCTGTAACATGCACAGTTTGCTGCCCCTAGTCCCCGTTACTTCACACACTAGTTGTATCCGCTGGTTTTCTACTCCTGGAGTAACAATGCTTCTCTCTTCTCCTTTCCACATGCACAGGATGACAACACTAGCCATAGTGACCATCAAGACCCCATTTCATTAGCCGTGGAAATGGCAGCGGTAAACCACACCATCTTGGCATTGGCCCGACAAGGAGCCAACGAGATCAAGACAGAGGCTCTAGACGACGACTGATACAAAGAAAGGGGAGGGTCAAAGCAAGAAGTAACTTAGTTTTAGACGTAGCACCTTAGCAGACTTTCCTCGGTCCTTAATATGTGTTCTTACAGTATAACTTTGCAGTTTCTTGTACGTCAGTTAGCTGTTAGGGTCTTGTTCTGTGAAGATGGCATGGTGCCCTCAGCCTTTGCATATATTCTCTCAGTATTAATTCCCAATAAATAATCAATCAACCAACCAACCTCCCTCTCCCAGCCCCAGTGGCTAGAAAAAAATCTTGCTGCTCTGTCTTAGCATTCAAAGTGCTTCCAGGTATTTTAGACAGCCCTCAATTACAAGTCTTAGGCTACACTTAAAATCTTGGATACCCTTAGAGATTGTGTTTAAAAAAAAAAAAAAAATAGTCTGTATGCTTTTCCTTCTCTGAGACTGAAAGGATGCAAGCTGAGGTAGTGGCACAGGGTCGATGGACACCAGATCGGGAGTATCAGCAGAGAGTAAAAAGAACACTAGAAACCCCACTTCAGCATGGGAATAAATGATTTCCAGCTGCAATAAGCCGTGCCTCACTGGTCATACAGTGACTTGATCTACTTTTGGGTGCTGTGCTGAGAATGTCCATTGGGAACACATTCACATATTTCGGTTGATGTTCATATATTCAACACAGCCATCCTCTACTCTCACAAGCTGCGTGGCTTAGTGGATGAGTCCTGCCTTCTGCCTCTGGGACCATGATTGAAGCCCAGCCTGGGATCATATGAAAGATGAGCTGAATGTCTAATGGACAACAGTCCACTTCTCAGAACCACTATTCGTTATTTGGCATGGCTAGCAGTGCCTGCTCAGAAGAGGTCTAGACTCTATTGATCTGTCATTAACAATTCCACCTTTTATTCTTCCTCTCACCTTTTCTGTCCCCACCCTACTCCCCTCTCCACTTTGCCACTTTCCAAAGCAATGTTTTCCAGGAAGGTTTTAAGGTCATAAAATGGGTGAGTGGATTTTTACACATCTGTGTAATTAATGCCTATGTCCTGACTAGCCTGAAAGGTTATTGGAGAACTTTTGCACCTGACCTTTGCTAGATAACCATCATAGCAGAAATACTCTCCTAAATACGAACTTCTTTTTGTTTAAAGGCAGGAGGATCTCTTACCTGAGAAATGGGGTGTGAATGTTTTGTGTTCTCTTTACTCTGTCCTTGTTAAGATGTGAGAAAGCTATACTGCTACGAGCAATTTAATTAACAATTGGAAGCCATACTGATAATGGATGTGGTAATATTTGTAAAGCAAATCTACTTTAAGTAGCAGAAACTAATGGAATTGTTTTCCTTGATCATATGTAGCACTTTTGTTACTTTTTTCTTAAAGATATTTATATTTGATAAGTCTTTTTTTTATCATTTGAGAATTCAAAATACCAAACGGCAAAACTTGCATTACAGAGTCACCCTGTGATCACCTTGTCATCTAGTATCTAAATGATGAACTGTGTGTGCATCTAAGAAAATTACATCTGCTGGCATTGTGTGGAAATGATCTCCTGGCATCCTGATAAAATATGTTGCTGCTGGTAAGAGGAAACATTTCAGTGGAAACAGCACGGGAAGTGTTAGAGATGGGCAGGACTGTGTTACCTTAAAAATAAAAATTAAAAACCTATGTCAATTTTTGTATATGGATATATAAAAATTTGCATAGTGTTTCCACAACATTCCATTTTTATCTTCCCAGTTTATGTGGGAAAAGCTTAAAAAAGGGGAAAACAGCTTAGTGGGAAGGATGGGTTTCCCTTTTCTCCCCTCCACTCCTAAAAGTGGAGGGAGTGAAGGGAAGTTGCTCTTACTTGGCTTGTTCTCATCCCTTCCTCACACTTAACTATCAGATAGCATTGTGAACTAAAAATGTGGCTCCTCAGCAGGTTTTTACCCAGCCTAAACCTCTCCAAGGCGTAGGCTAAAACTAGATCATCTTTACATCTGCTCATCTTGTGAAAATTGCTTAGGTAAGTGTGGAGGAGACTTTGTGCTTTCAGAGGGCACAGAGCTGGCACCTCTTTCTCTCTGTAACTTTGAAGATATATAGGTAGGGCTTGGCCTCGTCTTTCATTTATGGATTTCATTGGAAAATTTATGTGTTTTCCTTAGATATAGATCACTGAAGCAGAATGAAGCCGTCTTTTCTTTTTTTTTTCCCCCTGTTTTATTGCATTTCTTGAGTAGGCAAATTCATAAGTAGCATCAGGGCAGACTCAGGAACGAAAGGAATTGGATCAGTGACCATTGCACCATTGCAGTTTCTTTCTGAATGTGTGTGTGAATGTTTTGGTACTAAGGAGTGAAAGGATGGGGAGAGCTTTTATTTCTATTTTTGCACAGCAGAATGATCGAGCAAACTACAGCCTTAGTGGAATTTTACTTACTTATTTATACTACAGTCACACACCAAGCTGACAAGCAACATCCACGATTTATAGTAAGGAGATTTTAATAATCGATGGCCTTTTTACGTTGGGATTGTCACCACCATTTGTTCTGGTTGTTTCATTTTAAAAAGAACAGACTCAAACTGTTGGACAGCTGCAATTTTAAAAGAAATATTGCTTACTATCCCATGTTAAAAAAAAAAGAAGTCATTGTTTCAAGCATTGCCTTTTTAAAGAAATTGTTTGGTGTGAAGGTGGTGAGACACTGGCCCAGGTTGCCCAGAGAAGCTGTGGCTGCTCCTCCCTGGAAGTGTTTAGGGCCAGGTTGGATGAGGCTTTGAGCAACCTGGTCTAGTGGAAGGTGTCCCTGCTGCTGGCAAGGGGGTTGGAACTGGATGATCTTTAAGGTCCCTTCCAACCCAAACCATTCTGTGATTCAATGGGGAAGAATAAAAATAGTATTAGAACTTCTATATCCTGATTGTAGGTTCACGTGATGCAGGATAGAAGTAACACCACTAAGATTGTATTTCTGTGCCATCTAATGTAGATTAATCTGATCTGAATTCTATTTGTCACTGTCAGGTAGCTGCTGGTCTCATCATACATCAATATCCTATCTGAAGGTTAAAAAGTTAAACCCCTAGTGAACAACTGGAGATTGGCAGATCCTCCTTGTTTGTAGCTTCCTGGTAAATACTGTCTTCTCACCAGAGGAAATGACAAATAACTGGGAAATCGGACACTTAGTTCCATGTTGTCAGGTTTTGGGTTGTTTCTGACTATTTTGACTTTTCTTTGACCATCGAGAGGTAGGAGAAAAGAGGAAGACTACAGCTTTTACCAGAATGCTTACAGCAGGCTGTTTGCTTTATTCTGAAAGTTGATAATGAACAATTTGCAGTTGGCTAAGAACTTTCTGGTTTGATCTGAATTAGCTAAAATGGAACAGACATGGATGTGATGATACCAGTAGAGGTGTACATGATCTAGAGTAAGTGAAAGAATCAGTGGAGTGTCCTGGAATTTACCTTTTGTTTTAAGGGTTTTTCTGCAATATGGGAGTGATCTTTATCTTTCTGTTTCTTGATCTTCTTGAAAATTGAGCCTCATTTTTGTAGCATTGCAATTCAGTTGCAATTTGTTGTAGCCAATCTAGAATTACTGCAGTTTTTGTTCTCGTGTGGGTTCCCTTGAAGTGGATCTGGTGGCAGACTAGATCTACCATTTTGTTCTGTGAATAGAGAAGAAATTATTTAAAGATTCTCCTCTTCTTTGATGGGCACAGATGGCTTTTAACTTCATAGAGTAAGTTCTGGCTGTTATTTTGTTGCTCATAAAGTCCTTATACTTGAGTTGTTGTCTCTTACTGTCTTCTTAAAACAACAATTTCTACCTCCACTTCTTTTTTGGGTTGCTTTGGTTTTCTTGGTTGTTTTTTTGGGGTTTTTTTGTTTGTTTGTTTGTTTTTTAATTCCCTCACCTTTTTTCCTGAAGTATGAGATCCCAGATGTTTGCAAAAGCATTATGAGTTGATAAAAATAAGTCGACGTAGCAATGAGCAGACACGTTATCCGTTGATGCCCCAGCATTATAAAGACATCTTCTACTATAAACATAGTTATTGTTACAGTGTCATCCCATTACTTGTATGTTGGATGAGAACAAGTTGGTTGTGAGTCAGCAGTGCACCCTTCCAGCAATTAAGGAATCTCATTAAGAAGAACCTTCAGCAGGTCAAAGAAAGCTCTTAGTCCCCTCCATTCATCACTTGTGGGACCACATCTGGAGTACGATGTGCAGCATTGGGCAGGAATGAGGGCTGCTGAGATGAGAGGGTTGGAGCACATGTCGTGTGGTGAGAAATTGTGAGAGCTGGGTTTGTTCAGGCTGGCTCTGGGGACATCCTAGAGTTTTGTTCCTCAACTATCTTGAAGGGTAGGTTTAGAGAAGATGGAGCCAGGCTCTTCTCTGTTGTGCATAGCAAGAAGGTGAGGGGCGGTGGGCTCAGGTTGCATTAAAGAAAATCCTAGATGAATATAGAGAGAAATATTTTCATACTCTTGAGTGGTAGAACAGTAGCCCAGAAAGGCAGTGTAAACCCCAGCCTTGGGAATATTCAAAACTCAACTGGATAAGGTTGGATTAGAGACCTCCAGAAGTCTCTTCTGACCTAAATTTTTCTATGATTCCGTACAAACCTGCTCAGGTGGAGATGTTTCCTAGTTCTGATCTATACATGTTGACTTGTTTAAAGAAATTATCCTAATTTGTTGGGTTTTATGGGGGTTTTTTTTTTCTGTTTTACTATTCATAAAACCTTATATTTCTTAGTCTGCTAACAGAGGGGAACTTTATTTACAGGGTCTGGCTCCAGGCTCCAATCAAGCCATAAGTAATAAATTTCATTAATTATTTGCTCTGTTTACACAGTTCTTCAGGGATATTTGAATTACTCTGTTTGTTTCATTGCCTAACATCAGACTGGTAAGTTTTCCATGTTTCTGTACCATTTGTGCTTTAGATCAGTTTTTGCCTTCAGTTTGTGAGGGTTTATCCTCATCTTGCTGCTGTGAGTGCAGGTGAAAAATTTCACGTAGCTGAACATATTAGAGGAAAAGCTGTAGTTAACTTAAGCCCACTGGTGACTACTGTGATAAGCTGGAAATTTTTTGGTTTGGTAAATCATTAATTTGTGATTATCAGAAGTTGAAAGGGTATGACTGGGGAAGAGTCACATTATACTTCTTTTTCCTGAAGCATTTGCTGTTGGCCACTGCTAGGAAAAATAAAACATATTTTCACTAGGCAGTCTGATTTGGATGTTATTTTGAAGATAAATCACTA